TCTTTTAATTTGTTCTGATTGAAATAAACAAATGTCAGACAAGCTAGATTTTGTTTTTGATTGGCAAATCACTTTTGTGGCTGATCTCCAATTGATATATATCCAAAATAATTCGTAATATATATTTTTTTAATTTTTGTAATTACCCAAATATATGAGAAGTCTCATTATGTTGTTACATTACCTCGTTAGAAAGAACACGCTATTTTTTTAGCATCTCTACCTTCTTATTCTAGTTTAGTTCGCACAGTTAAATATAAACTCACATTTTTACGGCTTTCGACATTACACCGAAGCTTATTTAATTGGTTATGCTTAAAACTATATTTATTTTTATTCATTTTAACGCTTTTATCTAGCCTTAACTAAAGTCTAATATTTGTGGGCAAATCATTAGCTAGCAGGGCCTTGAGAAAGCCAGTCAACGCTGCCTTAAACATGTATATTTTATTGAAGGATCTCTGATACGATCCTGGCTAAAGGCATTACAACGCTTTAATCCCTTTGGGGACTTCGAGAGATTTTTGTGCGAATGCTTTTCTTTGTTTTTGGTATTTTTTTTTTATATTTTCCTTTTTTGTATTTCTGTGCCAACGTGACGGCTACGTGATGTGTCCTATGCGCAGGCAACGGCTACGATTTCAGCTCAGACAAGTGTGTGCGTGTGTGTGTGTTTGTTGGCGTGTGTGCGAAGGTCACGTGGCGCAGTTCAATGCTGAGACTGGCAGGCAGGTAGGCAGCACTGCAAAATGCACTGGCAGCCGTCGATGTCGAGTTTAATGAAGTGCAACGACCGTCGAGCAATTGAAATGCATTGCCTGCGTTTGGGTGTTTTTACCTGACAGAGAAGACGGCGCCGACGACGCACAAATCGCAGTGAAATTGTTATTGTGGCTGTCGTTGTTGTTGCTGGCATCATCAAGTGCCGTTAAACATGCCACACGCATTAAAGCAAAATGCTGCAAAAACACAAAAACAAAAACATGGACATGTGGCATAAAAAGCCCGAGCAGCAACACGAGCTCTAAACAAACCAAAAACAAGAGGCAAAATAAAAAATAATAATGAGAAGTAGTAGAAGAGGCACACACACGCACACACACACACACACACACTTAGATTTGGTATGGCATCTTTCACTGGCATTGCCAATCCGCGAACAATTAAGTGACCCTCCAGGAAACTGTTCCCACCGTTGCTGTTATGGCGCTGTTACGCCGCTGTTAGCTGGCAACAACAATTGCTGGCTGGCGACGTCGCTGCCTCTGCCGCCGTCGCTGCCGCTGTCTGCGCCTGCGCCTGCGCCAGTGCCGCATTGGCTCGGCTTTCAGAATTTTTAGTACAAACGACACGAAGCTGAATGAGCGGCGGCTCGTTTAGGCCCTTTTTAGCACATGGCCAGGAGAAACCAGGACATTCAGCTGCTCGCAGCCGTTGGCTGTAGTTGAACGCCACGGAAGACGCGGCGTATGCGTGACGCATATCACGCATACGCGCAAGTAGTCGCAAAATGTGCGAAATTCTTTTTTGAATACAATTATCCCGATGGAAATGCACTTGTCAGCAGTCGCAACGTGGCTGCTCGTGGCTCCTGCCAGCGCTTGATGCCACTTCAAAAACTTGCCGTCTGGCTGGCTGGACAACTTTGTCTTGGCCATCAAGCCATGTCAGCCAGCGGGGCAACAGCCAGCAGCCAGCGGCCAACACCCGTCAGCCGTCAGCCGTTCTCTGTTTATGTTGAGTTGTGCTCATTAGTGCAGCGCTTATGATGATAATTTGGATTAAGCAACAAGCGGGCAACAAGGACCCAGTAGCTGGCACGCACACGGAAATGCTTTGCATTTCGCTTAACATAAGTCCCTTGCATCAGGCTCCATCGGACATGGCGGACAAATCCGAATTCAAATTAGGATTTGCAGTTGATGAAATGCATGGTAATGCAGCATTTTAATATGTGCATGCAAATGTGCAATGCAATTGCCAATTATAAAATATAAAAATCAATTTATTATAAATTACAAACTATAAATATATGCATATAAACCAAATTACAATTTACAAACTTTCCCGAAAAGCTTTAGCCGTGAGCGCAGAGCTCAGCATATTGAATGCAAAGTTAAAACAACATGTTTTTGCTACACAACAAAAAAATCCATACAACTTATTGAGTTTATTTCACGTAATAATTTACAGCATAATTCGCATTCTAATGGCATAATTATAATACAAAATATATGCTAAAAAAACAACAATTATAAATATTCACTTTTTTTTTTACTGATAACAAGTAAAATAAATTGTTTTCGGCAACATCAGGTCATTTAATTAGTCGTAGTTTAAGGCAGCTGCCTAAAACAATAATGCATATAAACAACATTTTCACACAACTTAATTATATTGGAAATTGTTTTTGCCTGCAAGCTCAGCGTTAAGCCTAATAGCAAGGCCAAATGTAAATTATTATAGCTATTTCTATAGACTGAGATCCGACAACTCATATCTGTTAGAAATGAATATAATGTTTCATTTTAATAATATTTTTATTAACCATGCACATATGAGATACCTTGCTGCTGTTTTGGGAACGCAGCAATTAATTCATCTAGTTAACATAATTGAATTAGTTCCTCGCGAATATTCAAATTTACTTTACGCTCTGCGCTACGCTGAAAGCTGTTTTTCTCTAACTGCAGCTCTGGTTAGTACTTTGATAAGCCAGCCACAAACTCCCCTCAAACACACACACACACACACACACACACACATGTTGCACACTTTTTGCAGCATTATTTGTGCTGTTTAAATATATATACATATATTAAAAAAAAAAAAGAAGAGCGAAAGGAAAATATAAAAAGGGGTAAAATTATAATAATAAATAAAAGCGAGGCGCAGCGACTGGCAACTCGACGCAGCGGTTTCACACGCAATTAACATATTCTCTCTGTTTCATTAAAATTGTTGCATTTGCCGAAGGGTTACGACTGGACTGAGACCCCACGCCCAGCCCCAGCCCCAGCCCCAGCCCCAGCCCCAGCCTCCGCCCCAGCAAGCAGCTCACGGCTGAGGATCAGGATTGCGTCGGGATTTTGCTGCGCTTTTTTTTCCGTTTGCCTTTCTACACGTGCACTTTTTAATTATTTGTTGTTTTTCTGCTCACTTTTTATTCAATTATTTGTACACTGACACACACACAGGCACACATTCACATAGGGTTAAAAATAGCAAGTAATTGTCCATGGACTGAGGCTGAGATAGACCTTGGGCTTGGTTGGATGGTGTTGCACTGTCTGCCAAATGTTAAAAATGTTGCAATTTACATTAATGCCGCATTACTTTGCAGGCGCATTAAGCAATTAACAATTGTAATTGATAAACAATTAGTGGCAATATAACCGAGCCACAAGCATACATATAAAACTGCTTATTAACAAACAATTTTTGCAAAACAACAAAAAAACAACATAACAATCATCGTCAATGGCACGCCGACGCTCGCATACACTGCAGCCGGCAATTAATATCAAATGATTTGAGCAGATGACAAGAGCTAAAAATAAAACACGCCATTCGTTATTTTCGCCCAATAATAACCATATATATAAATTTGGTAACGAAATTGGTAAAACATAGGCTCGTGTCGTTGTAAGGTTTTTAGCGTGTATTAATCTATTTGTGAGCAAAAACGAGTTAATGCTGACAAACGTGGCCCAAAGCCGGGGCGTTAATTACAAAAACAAACACACACAGCCACACAAACTCGTATTCGAATACCAAAAGAAGAAGAAAAAGTATGAATGTAAATACAGGCGAGATCTCGCGCTCATATTTATGTATAAACAAATCATCTAACTGCAGCAATTGAGCACCTGCAAAGCGCGGCATAGGTGACAGCGCTCAAAGCTGAAAACCTGACCAGTTTGTCGAGCTTTTGGCTACAAGCAACATTTATTGTATTCTTGCAAAGCAATTAATCAAGTCTGAAGCTTGAATGTGCTTTCAATGCTTTAGCTTGATCAGTTTGTAGAGCTTAAGCCCAGAAACAAGATTAATTGTATTCGTACAAAGCAATAGATCAAGCTTAAAGCTTTCAAAGATTATCCTTAAAGTGTTTATCGAGCTTTAACCCGGTAGCAACATTTATTGTATATTATGTTGCAAGGCAATTAATCCAGTTTGAAGTCAACTTAACATGTTTGAAGCTTAAACGTAGTTTCAAAGCTTGATCGAGCTTTAACCCGCAAGCAATATTCATTGTAACAAATTGAAGCAATGTATCAGCTTGGTCCAGCTTAGTGCTTTAATTCACAAGCAATATATATTGTAATATTTCAATCCAATTGATCGTGTCATAAGCTTCATTTTGCTTTCAACGTTTCAATTTATTTTGCCAAAGAGCAAGAGCTCGAAAGATTAAAAAGGAGCTTTTAGCTTAAAGCACGTATCAAAAGAGCTAATAAATGACGACGTAAAGGTTAAAGGTTAAGGTTAATATACGCAACATATTGGCTGGATCGAGAGCGAACAGAAGAGCTTTCAGCTTTAAGAAAAAGCTGATTGCATCATTTGAAGCTTAAGCTTTCAAAGCTTGTTTATTTATGCACAGTTAAAGCATTGTAAGTCGTTATTTTAACTATAAGCTCATATTAATTCGAATCGTGGCAACAATTAATCGCACTTAAAGCTCGCTCGAGCCAAAAGCTTAGCCCATCAATTCATGCTCTCTAAAAAATATTTCATAAAATAAACTCAATTAAATTAATATTTTTTTCTGTTTAATTTAATATTTATATAAAGAAAATTCGAGTAGAACTAACACAGACGGAAAAGTAGAAGAGAAATCGCTGCCAATTGGGAGGACGCCATCAATTTTCGCGTAGCGCATTCAGACAAAATCCCCGTAAATAAACATAAAACTCAAATAAATTTTGTAGTTAGCAAATGTATGTATGTCTATTGAAAAACCAGTCCACATACGTCTTTGTTAGCGGTTGAAGTTGTGGGCCAGGGGAGGGTAGTTATGTGCGCGCTAAAGCACCAATATAAACATGTGCAATGCTCGGCCGGGCGGTTAGTGTTGATTGAACTGCCATAGGAAAATTAACAATGATAATGCTCAAAGAAACGCTGGTAGTTTGCCTAATCCTGGCCAGCTGCTGTTGTTGGACCAGCAGCGCCTATCCGCAGAACAACGAGGAGAGCTCATCGACAACGACAACAACGACAACAACAAGCACAACGCCTAGTCCAAGCAGTGCAGCTAGTACGACAACGACAATAGCAACAACAACCACACCAAAGCCCAAGTCAGAAGAAAATTCGAGCAGCACAACGACATCGGCGACGACGACGACGACGACGACGACACCAAAGCCCAATTTGGAGGAGTCTACAACGAGCCCCACAACGACGACAACAACAACCACACCCAAGCCCAAGTCGGAAGAGTCCACAACTGCCGCCACAACAACGACGCCAACAACAACAACAACGACAACAACCACCACAGCCAAGCCAGAAGATGCGAGCACAACACCCAAAGATGAAGATGCGGAGGCGAAGGAGCTGCTCGCAAAGTGTGAGCAGCTGCGTAGGCGCCGCAAGCGGGACAGCTCCTCCTCCTCGGAGGAGGATGACGACAGCAGCGAGCAGAAGTCCGCAAAGAAGGAGCGCAAGAAGCTAAAGAAGATGTGCAAGGAGCTCAAGAAGCAGCAGGAGCGCAAACAGAAGCGCCAAGGCGACGACAGCATCAGGCAGCTCGCCGAGGCTCTGCGCAGCTACCAAATGAAACAGAAGGACCAGACGAGGCACTAAACAAATATACCCTAGTGCATGTACTAAAATGAACACCAGTTTTTAATATTTTATATAGTTTTTTTTTTTTTGTAATTTTTTAATGACAATAAACATGACAACAATTTGAACGCAAAAGTTTTCCATGATGTTGGCAGCGAAGTGACCCAGTTGAGAGCGTATATAAATATACATATATATACATATGTATATATGAAACCTTTGACTGCTAATTGATCAGCCAAACATGAAGAATTTGACACCAGCCAAGCCTAACGCGAATCAGTCGAATCATATCGTACCCCACCCCCAAATGCTGACTGCGTTTTGATTGGTAAAATAAACGCGAAAGATAGTTGATGAATCATATGTTGGTGAAAGGTAAATCCAGCAGGTAAATAGATCTGCTGCTATTATTAATATTAATGGGATTCGTTCAGATTACAGCAAAAACTTGAATAACATAAATAAGCCACATTAAAGCAACTGGCCTGCAAGTTTCCGGGTTTCAATTCCAGTGTCTGGCGCTTGTAATATTTCAAACAAAGGTCAGGGTATACTAGGTCAAGTATTGATACTAACTAGAATGATTTTAATTAATAAAAATTTAGAACCTGTTCCAACTTGTTATTAATTTCTTATGTGGCGGTTCATGGCTTTGGTTTTTGTTTCCAACTCCTAACTTTATCATTCAAATGTAAAAGAATTTGACTTATTGGAAAATGTTAAATTTATATACAATTTTAAGGCATATTCTGTTTAGAAAACAAAACAAAATATTTTCAGCCCATAATAGGCCGAACAGTTGATAGTTAACTGATTATCTGTCTGTGTGTCTTTTTTTTTTTTTTTAACGCGAATCCCGATGCAACGTACTGCATCCCACCTCCCGCCCAACCGACCGAGGGGCGCAGTCGTGTAACGTACGACACGAAATGCAAAGTAAATATGAAAAAAAAATATTAAAGAAAAAAAAATATACAAACTACGAGTATGTGTACAAATACAATTACAAATAAAGATAGGACTATCTACTTGCTAAATAGTTTAGAATAGAAGACTTTATACGAGGAAGAGAAGCTTCCGAGCAGAATACTCTGTAATGCTTGTTATAGTCATCACAGAGAACCCTGAACGGTTCATGCAAGGCATAATTAGTTGAGCAAAATTGAAGCGATAAAGGTACAAAATTACGTGTTAGTCTAGTAGGGATAGAGAAATTTAATTGGCTAGTCAACACAGAAGAGTCGATTTCACCAGTAATTAATTTATGAATAAATATTACACCCAGCATGGTTCTACGATTAATTAAAGAAGGAAGGTTAATCAACAGAAGTCTACTGGAGTATGACGGTAACCGCACACGAGGATCCCAATTTAAACCACTAAGGGCAAACAACAAGAATTGTTTCTGAACGGATTCAATTCTGTCCTGATGGGTAGCATATTGTGGTGACCAGATACATGAGGCATACTCAAGAATAGGTCGTACCAAAGATATATAAAGTGTTTTTGTCGTGTACGGATCGTCAAACTCCTTCGACCATCGCTTGATGAAACCCATAACTATTCTGGCCTTATCGACCACGGTATTAACATGAGAGTCGAATTTAAGTTTATGATCAAGGATGACACCTAGATCATTAACTTCATTAGAAGTACTATTAACACGCTCAAGCGGTATGCTGTCAAGGTTGTAAGAAACCAATTGAGGAGGGCTTCTATAGAAGGTCATTACCTTACATTTAGAGCAGTTTAAGCTTAACAGGTTGGCTAGACACCAAGCCTGAAACGCATCAATGTCCGCTTGTAAGAGATAACATGATGCCATATCCTTATATGCAAGGCATAATTTTACATCATCAGCATACATTAATACTCGAGAGTGAGACAGTATCGAGGGAAGGTCATTGATGAAAAGAGTAAAGAGTAGCGGGCCAAGATGACTACCTTGAGGAACACCGGAAGTCACCAGAATACGTTTAGAGAATGAATTTCTGAAAAGAACCTTTTGGGTTCTGTTACGCAAATACTCTGAAATCCAGTTCAAAAGATTGACTGGGAAGCCGAGAAGGCATAATTTATGAAGCAGCAAGGAATGGTTGACAGAGTCGAAAGCCTTACTGAAATCAGTATAGATGACGTCAGTCTGCTTTCTTTTCTTAAACCCATCAATTACAAACGAAGTAAACTCAAGAAGGTTAGTGGTTGTAGATCTGCGCTTCACGAACCCATGCTGGGAAGGTGAAATAATAGAACTACATAAATGCTGCAGTTGAGATGTTATAATTCTCTCAAAAGCTTTAGGTATAGCGGATAATTTGGAAATACCTCTATAGTTTTCGACATCGGACTTACTCCCTTTCTTATGGAGAGGGATAATGTATGATTCCTTCCAAATGGTCGGAAAAGATGAAGTGTTTACGGACAATTCAAAAAGTTTTAAAACAGGTTTACATAATGCTGCAGCGCAGTATCTAAGCACGCAAGCAGGAACACCATCAGGGCCCGGTGAGTAAACCGGCTTGATAGTGTTAAGGTCGCTAAGAAGCGAACTTTCGGTAATAATGGGATTAAAGATGCAGTTTGACCTCTGTAACTGATAAGGATAAGGCTGATTTTTATTATACCTAGAGGAGGAGTAGGTAGTTTGAAAAAAGTTTGCGAACAGATCGGCTATGCCTGGATCAGTGTTCGCGCTCTCATCTGCAAACTTAACCGAAGAAGGCAAAATAGATGTCTTTCGTTTAGAATTGACAAAGTTAAAAAATTGCTTAGGATTATGAGAAAATTGGAGGCGACAACGGCGAAGGTAATCTTATAGCAGATGGAATTTTGAGTAGAAAAATTTGATCGGGCAACTGCATAGCGGGAGAAATCAGAGTGATTTCCCGATTTCTTAAACTTTTTATAACACCTCGACTTCACGTTTTTAATCTCATAAGTTCACTTGAGAACCAGGGAGGCCTATCAGGCCTCGCTGGGTAATCAAGAGGAACGCAGACATCAAAAATCGAGTACAAGGTGTCATAAAATAGTTTCAAGGCAACATCAATGTCTGCACAATTGTACAGTTGGGACCAGTCGACTTGCAGAATAAGATCATTAAGCTTATGAAAATCAGCCTTTCTGAAACAACGCATACGTTCAGCTAATTCCGATCCCTTAATAGGGACTCGGGCTGGTAGATCAATGCCCATTTCCAAAGTTGGATGATAAGGGTCTTCAGGAAGCGTAAGCGGATTGATCCTGTGCACAACCACTGTCGAACGAATCCAACACGAAAATTAGATCAAGAGATCTGTTCCTTGAATTGCGCACACAATTAACCTGCCGTAAGGACATTTCATGTAGACCATCAATAAACTCGTTTGACGATGACGGCAACAGAAAGTTTGAGTCTGATGGCGATGACCACTCGACATCGGGAAGATTAAAGTCACAACTACTAAAAGGTCCCCATCAGAAAGTAGGGAGGAGATAGATTTAATAGCATTAAGATGGGTTTGATAGGTAGACAAGTTAGATAGAGGAGGTATATATGAACATGTAATAAAGATAGAAAAAGTACCAAATACAACTCGTCACAGCCACCAACTCAATCTCTGAGATGGGAAGTTCAATGCGTTGCGACGAACGAGCAGACTCGACAGCTATGAGTACTCCTCCTCCGGTACGGGAAGCTCGATCGCATCTGTGAGGGGTGTATTTGGAGGTAAAAATGGAAGAGTCTGAGATGTCCGGCTTCAGCCAGGTCTCAGTTAAAGCGATAATTTGAAAATTGAAAGCAAGAGAGTCTAAATACAGGTTAGCGAGTTTAGATTTAAGACCTCTAACATTCTGGTAGGCAAGCTCGAAAGATGGAATTTAGTTTTTTGACGCAGCAACTAAAGTTGGTGCGCCACTAGAAACAGGTGGTAATGAAATCGGAGTCCGATTTTTCTTTTTGGCCTTATATTCTTTTACTATTAAGTGCTCCGGCCAGAATTCTTTACAACAAATATCAGTAAATATTTCTGGCGGAACACTTATTTTAAAGGACGCAATATCCCTTTCATAAGCGAACTTAAATTTCTCCACCAGTATACCTGGGGCTTGAATTTTTGCCTGTATAAAGGCTTTTACATCATCTGATGAAAAGTGAGGGGCAAGCCTAGAAACAAAAATAAGTCTCTTCGGTGGAACACCGACTAGAGGCTTAGGTGCCACAGGTAGGACAGTGGGAACACTATTAACTATGGTACCTAAAACAGCCGGTAGTCCGGACGACGAGCCTTCTAGCGGCCGTTGTAAATTTAATTGTTGCTGTCGCCCTTTCGGAACACCCACGACAGCGGACGACACGGATAATTCGACTGGTTTTTCTCGTGCCGATGTCACACTTTTCGGGACAGAATCAGTGTCCACAGCAGACCTCACAGCTACCGGAGTAACAAACGAGATGAGCTGCTGTGTAATCGGTGTAGTAGGCTGCTGCATAGCAGTCGGAGGCTGAAGGGTATTAGGCAACGGCAGATCACAAGGAGTGGGCTTTTTAGGCCCCGGAGACTCATCTAACAGTTTAAGGCTATTAAATTGGGTGTCCAGGGCTGTGAGCTGATCGTTAAGTTTACGAAAACCAACAATCAGACCCCTAAAGCCACTCCTGGTCTGACGCATAAACGCCCGCATTTCACCATCAATCTCCCTACACGAGTCGCAACTATAGTGCAAACCATTTCGTTTGGCAACAGCATCCCCCACAAGACCAGTGTAACCCGCACATTTAGAATGCACGACATTATCACACAGCCAACAAGGTATGCTGGATTGACTTGCCGTAATTGGCATTTGGCAAGTTTTTATAAAACAGACAATTTTATGGTCCATTATTATGGGTCTCTACTGTAATAACACAGCCAAATGTAAAAAGAGAGTTATTTAGATTAGATTAATAGCGTATGGAGCACCAACAAGCGGCAAAAAGATCGAAAAAAGATAGAAAAAGATCAAAGCGCAAGTTGAAAAAAAAAGGTGAGAGAGCGCGAGAGTGCGAGAGTAGTCTATTTATAGATTGCTTGCTTGCCCACGAAATCTTGCACACCAGAGAGGCGATGTGCAGTTAAACATAAACAACAAACAACAACAAGAAGCTTACCCACAGAGCTAAATAGCGCAAGCGCACAAACAAAAATGCACAAGAACACAAGTTTAAAAGAAACAATATTTAAATAACAAAAATGCACAGACCACAAGCATGCACTCGCGATAAATAAAAAATAAACCGAGAAGGCGAACAGAATAGTAGAAATATATAAAATATAAATAATTAAAACGCCGGTGTTTTATTAAATCGAAAACAAAACGGAGAGCACAAAAAAAACACGTCTGTTCGCTTCAAGTGGAGAACGCATTCTTGTGGCTTCTATCATACTTCTATCATATCATATCATATCATTATATTTACTAATAATTAAATATCATGTAAATTGCAATTCAATATAGCTGACAATATTTTATTTATATAGATATATAAACATAAGTTTTTTATATTGATCAACTGCCAAATCTGCAACAAAAACAAAGCTATTAAAGTTGTTCAGCTCTTATTCTGAATATTAAAAAATAAATGAAGTTTTATATATTTTAAGAAATTTGTACATATAATTTGAATTTCAATTTATTGTGGCATAAATTATTACATGCTGCCATTTAATCAAGGCGCACAAATAAATTGAACTATGCCAATTGGATGTCATAAACTGTCTGTCACTTAAGGTTTTTAATTTCAAATTTTGAATTCTTATAATTAACGCGGATTTGTTGTGAGCTTGTAAAGTTCATTTGGCAGCACATTTGTGTTTAAGCTTTGTAATTACCTTTTATTACACGACCTTGTCACAATAGTTTATAATTAAATAAATTGTATGCACATTCCACATAATGCCAGTAAATAAATATCAATATTCAATTTCAATTTCTGAAAAGAAAAAATTAACCGAAAATAAATAAATAAATTAAGTTCCAGCAACATAGTCATATGTAAGTAGTGCCAAGCACAGGTACACACATTAATATTGATTTAGCAGCAGCTTTGGCTCGATTTGGCTATTAAGCTTCATCATTTGGACCTGGTCAACTAGTCGAAGAATTCACGATCCAAGCACGTTTGTGAAATTAGCTTTGGCCGCGGACGGGAGTCGCGAGTCGATCAACCGAAATGCTAATTTGCATAAACAAAAACAGCAAAAAAAAATCAAGCAAAAGAAATAAATAAATAAATAGAAAAAATGCCAAGAAATTGGTAAATAGGCAAAAATGATAATGAAGCCAGAGTTCAGGCATTGAACTCTGCCCAGAACGCGCGCAATAGAAAGCCGAGAGTTCTGGCTGCGGCTGCGGCTATGGCTACGGCTACGGCTGGTTGGCTGCTTGGCAAGCTGCCGTAAATGGGTCGACCCGGCATTAGACGTGCTTTGAACTCTGAGGCCGAGGGCCCGATATGTGGCTAATTATGCAGCCTCAAGATTGGCTGAAGAGCAGAGAAGCGCTCGCAGTTGGCAGCAAAAAGCTAAAAGAGCCGTTAGCTAATGATTTATGCACCGATCTTTCGGTGGGAAGAAGTTGATATAAGTGGCGGCTCTTCTCGATTCCCGATTCAGTTGGCACACACAAGGCAAGCAATGAAGTGGACAATGTTATGGATAGAATCGCTGCTGGTCCTGGTCCTGGCCCTGGCCAGTGGCCTATCACTGGTGAGCGGTAAATTTTTTTGATCCCCTTTGGCACGAGCAAAACCCACTAAATCTGACAATTCGTTGCGTTTCCCTCTGGCCGACTGCAGCACGGGATGAGCTGCGTCCAACGGCAGCGCCGCTGCTCAGCTCCACGCTGAAGCCAACCAGCGCGCCCAAAACGGAAGCGAAGCCCACCAAACCGCTGATGATCATCAATGCGCCGCCCATGAAGCAGAAGCATCTGGTGCCGGTCAGCGTGGAGGCAGCTCAGGTGGCGACACAGCCGCAGTCGCAGTCACAGACTCAGGCGCAGCAGCCAAAGTCGACGGTGCAGGATGGAAAGCCGTTGCAGGTGACGGGCTTTATAACCAAGTCGGGCAACATCTACGAGATCGAGGACAAGCGCGGCATAGGCCGCATCGAGCCACGCCAGGCCGAGGGAGCCGAGGAGGAGCAGATCGTCTGCAACTATGGCAACGTGGTCATCTACAGCGACGTGCCCTGCGATCAGGTGACCAATGTGAAGGTGGGCGAGGTGCAGCCGCTCAATGCCGAGCCGCAGGCAACCGAAGCGGCACCGTCTGAAGATCAGCAGGCTGAAGAGCAGCAGCAGCAGCAGCAGCAGCAGCAGGCGAGCGACACACCCAATGCGCCACGTGGCCAGCAGGACACGCAGCAGCAGCGCCGTCGACGCCGTCGACGACCCACCGGCGCCAGCCAGCAGCAGCGCCGCCGCGTCAATGCCAACGGCGCCGGAGTCCGTCGTCGCATTCGCAGACGCAACGGCAACGGAAACGGCAACCGCAATGGCAATAGCAATGGCAACCGCCGCGTCCAGCAGGTGCGTCGCCGTCGTCCCAATCAGCGTCGTGGCAATGGACAGCGCCGTCCGGTCAACAGGCAGCAGCAGCAGCAGCAGCAGCGCCGCCGTCAGCAGCAGCGTCGTCGTCAGCAGCAGCAGCAGCGTCGTCGTCAGCAGCCGCAGCGCCGCCGCCAGCAAGTGCGTATCATCCGCGATGATGAGGAGGTCTAGTCAGGACAGCGCAAGGACTTGGCAAGGGTTTCCCATTTCCCGCTTAGATGCTCCAGTTTTGACTTTATCAGACGCAGTGACAAACGAATAAAATGTTAACCAAAAGCTCAAATTTCGTCTCCAACTAGAACTCCAATTGGAATTGCGTCTCTTTGTATTTGTGTAGCGTCCAGTTGGCAAATTAAAAATGCCCTTTGTGTTGCGTCCGGGTAAGGGGGGAGCTCAGCATACAGTCCGCAACAGTAATTAAAATAGCTCGGTCGTGCAACAAATTCCACTCAGCAATACCCTATAAAAGCTTTGCTTGCTATCAAAGCTAGTCAACACAATTCTTGTTATTCGGTTAAAGTGCGCTTAAAGCGCACTTAAAGCTTCAACAGCTTCAAGCACATTTCTAGTATGTCTCTGCGACTGGGAATCTTAAAATGTTTCTGCAGGGTGCAAAGTACAATTCTTTGGGCTTTTTAATATAATTTTTATTAACTGGATGCTTTCCTATTTAAGTCCGTTTATCTTCTTTAAGATATTCTCAATATTTAGCAGCTTTCTTAAGGCTTTCAGGAAGCGACTTTCTTTTAGCTTTTTTTAAAATTGTTAGGTATTATTATTTCACAAAACATATTGCTAATTAACATCAGGTAAGCTATGCGCAAATATTGTGAAATACAGCAACTCACTGCTAATTAAACTCTGAAGAAAAACTAAATAAATAAATACATTTTTTTATCAAAGAAACTACAGCCCTTTACCAGAATAAAAATTAAATTTTGTTAACTAGTGTAGTATGTCGATCTACATATTAGTCAAGATTGAGGCTTCTCTACACAAGACACATATTTTGAGCAAACCCAATTAAATTAAAATTAATTATTTATTAATTAATTAATCATTTAACTAATTGCTTAAAGCTAACCAACAAAACTTGCACTGGTTTTTTTAATTACGATTCCGCAGCAGTTCCGCAGAAATATGTGTTGCATACTTTTTGGAGCAGCAGATTGGACTCTACGCTATTCAAAGATTTGTTCAATGTTTCTTCTTATGCTACAAATAATAAATATATTCTTAAGCTATATGGCAGCATTACACTCAAAAAGTACATATCAATCCAGGACAAAGGATGTTCCTTTTGTAATACCACAGATCACTTGCCCCTGCCGGCTTGTCACATTAATTGTAGCTAGATTTTGCGACTCGGCTCTACTTGATGCGACTTTTTGTTCAACACTTTTATGAGGGTGCGCTCTGTGTGCGGAGACGCGGCGGCGTGTTGCGTGCTGCGTGCTGCTGGTTGCGAGTTGCAAGTTGTTGATTGCGGGCTGTGGGTTGCGGGCTGCGGGCCGCGGGCTGCGGGCTAGTGGGTTGAGGGTTATGGCTTTTGGGCTGCGATGTCAGCATCAGCGTCAGTTACAAGCAACAAGAAACAGAAGAGTTTTGCGCGCTTGGGCCCAGCGCACTTAACACATAAAACAAACAAATACAACATCGGCAACAAGAGCAACAACTACGACTACAACTACAGTGAGCCCCCCAACGAGCGCCAGAAAGTCATTCAAAAGTCAACCAACTTTCTTCTTTTTGAAAAACGTTAAAGAGCAGAAAAAGAAATACTTGCTCGCACTCACACTCACACACACGTGCACACACACTAGCGCGCGCGCAACGTCTGGGGGCTGCATGGAAACTTGCAAGAGCAGCAACAACAACAATAAAGGCAAGTCGCCTGCTGATTTTCCTTTGTTGTTTGCATGCACACGAATGCCCACAACACCAACGCATACACACACACACACACCGCCACGCAATCCAGCCCCAACCCACCTACCCCTGGCCCGCAATGAAAGATCCGTGGAACAATCCCTGACATACCCCTGGCATACCTCTGCCCGATCTCGACCAGGAACGGCTGCTGCACTTCTGTTTTCGCTATGACTTCGCCTCCCCAAGGTGCCATCAAAATGTGCGCCACGTTGACTTCCACGTTGACGTTGACGCTGACGTTGACGCTAACGTCGACGTCGCCGTCGCGTCGCTGTCGGGTCGCTGTCGTTGCCGTCGTTGCCATCGCTGTTGTGCGTTGAGCCTTCAAGTTTATCACCTCATTGTTTTTGCACGCCGGGGCTGCAGCTCATTGTCAGCGCCTCTGTGAGATGCTGTGCGTATGTGTGTGTGTGTGTGTGTGTGTGTGTGTGTGCCTGTGTGTGTTGCATAGTATTTTGCGTTGTGTATGTGTGGGTTTTATCGCTGGCTGCGCCAGGTGGCCCAACTGCAACTGCAGCCACTCAAAGGTGGCAAAGTCAACATAAAATGCATAAACAAATTCGAATGCAGTTGCCATTTATGGTTAAGTCAGTCGACAGGGCTGCCAGGCAATCAAAAGTTGTGCCATAGCGTTGCCAGACATATGTAAGCATAGCCTAAGTCAAAGCTTGTCTCACACATCAATATGCTTTAGACCTAAGGAACTATGGATGGACTTTACAGACAGAAGAAACTATACAGTATATATGCATATGCAAATGTGATCGGAACGGAATAACTGATTCCAGTTCGTACCGTTAAAAGCTATGGGAGGGTCTTAACATTCTGAATATTTAAGCAAATCTGTGTAGCCTCCCCGATGCTGAAAGACCCCGAGGAACTATAGATAGACTCTACAGACAGAAGATTTTTAGCCCATGGAATAGCGTTGAATCTATAGAGTATATAAATGCACATTTGATCAGAACTGAGTATTTCTTAATATTAAACTAGTTTTTGTACTGCCCCATTTTAACAAAATCGATAAATATCGATTCGAGGCTCAAATTCGATTCGATACTATTTCTCTTTAAAACAATTTGAGTTGCCAATTCGTAGCGAGCAGTTGCCGTTCTACGTCCTGATAACCATTAGCTATCAGGTGTAGCCATAACCTAGGGCTGCTTTCGGGTTAAACAGCTCCAATCGCGAGGAAAAGCTCAACTGGCCAATAAACCAATATTGAATAGAGCAGGCAACAATGGAGGCGAGCAGAAATGGGAATAGAACCAGGAAGAGAGTGGCAAGTGGCAGGGATAAGGGAATGTGGGGCTTGTTGCTGCGTGCCTGGGCGCAGCGTGCATTTAACTTTGTCAAACACAAATCCTTTGGGCAAAGAGTTTGTCTGGCATACGCATACACATTAGAAAGAGGGAGCGGGAGAGCGAGAGAGAGAGAGAGAGAGAGCGAGTGGGAGGAAACAGCAGACATAATCTCGTAAAGATAAAACAGTTTAATGTGGCAGAAAACAAAGCGGGTACCAAGCAGAAGTGGAGAATGAAATTTAAGATGCACATGGAGATAAAAAGAAAGAGAGAGAGAGGAGAGAGAGAGAGAGAGAGCGAGAGAGAGCGAGAGAGAGAGAGAGAGACAGCGAGCGAGATGATGTGGAGCTGTTTAAAGAACCCATTGACCCCCTGCCGATACGGCTGACAAGATGGCGAACGAGAAATACATAAAAACAGTCGCCCGACGGCGTTCAGCGAAATGCGAAAATCTGTCAATTATTTAAATCGCCTGCCAAAAATCTGAGCACCAGGTCGCTTAGCCCGCGGGCCAGCCAACGTGAAGCGCCATCTACTGGCAGCGGGCGGTCCTCGTCAAAGGCCCTGCCGACCATGTCGCTCGGCCAGCCAAAACTATGGCCCCTGATGAAGCTGCTTTGTCTGTTGGTAATTAACATGAAAATAAGCGCATTAACATCATGGACGCTGGCGGTTTATGTTCCTGATGAATGATGCGGGGTGGAGGGGGCCTGCGGGCTGCGGGGCCGCATGCCACGAGCTGCGAACTGCGAGCTGCGGATGCGATGGCATCGTGAGGCAGATGGATTTGAAGCTTTCTGGTTTAAGGGCTTGTCTTTGCCCCTGGCAACCCAAAAATGACTTCAACTTGGAGCCCTAATTATGAAATCGAAATCGAAACCGAAAATTCGCCCAGCGAATTTGCCACGAAAAACGTAAAGCGCGCAAATTAAAATAATAAATTCGCCAAATTAAAGAAGGAAGTCATTAAAGACGCTGCCAGACAGACAGAAAGACAGAACGACCGAACGACAGTCAGCCAGTCAGTCAGCCAGTCAGTCGGTTGGTTGGTTGGTTGGTTGGGAAGCGGCTGAGGCATTCCGCACAGCACATTGAGTGCTGAGCGATGGGCACTCAGCGCCGAGCGCTCAGCGTTGAGCCTTTTGTGTCCTGACGACGACGTCATTAGCAGCATTTACACGTCGCACGTTGAAGCCAAAGGATAATAAGTAACGACGACGTCTTGGCGGGAAAGCGGAAAAGCGGGAAAGTGTGAAAAGAAAAGCGGCGGTGCTAAGACAAAAACTGACACAAATTAAACTGAAATTAGTTGCGACTCACTTCGTTTTGACGCTGGCGACGACAGACGGCAGACGACAGACGATGCTTCAAGCTCATCGTCATCGTCATCGTCATCGTCGATGTCGTTGTCGTTGTCCTGGATGCGGACATCTTCATCTTCATTGCCTCCATTACCAGGCTGATGCACGTCCACGTCGGCGTTTTCATCTTCTGAAAGTGTCAAGCCCAAAGTGGCTGCTAATGAGCGGCACATGGTCAGGATAAAAAGAGGCGTTGCCAGATCAACGGACTTGCCAGCTCACCCAACTTGCCGTTGTCCAACACCTTGAGCAACTAATACGCGCTATTCCAAATTTTAGACCAGCTAACGCCAGGCTGCCGTCATGTTTATTTCCTATACAAGAATAGAATGGGTTAGAATATGGAGTAGGGTTTGGCTGGTTTCAAGAAGAGCTATTTATAACATTTGATTTACACGCTTAAACCGCCTTCACATCAATTCATATTAAACTGTTTGTCCTGTCTGATTGACAGATTAACTGATTGACTGACTGATTAACTGACTGTGAGAAATTTGTACTATAATTAAAATACATTTATAATAAAACGAGAATATAAAATACAAATATAACTGTATTGATGCGGACATCTTTG